CAGAATTTTTCTTGGTGTTTGATTTTAATTTTCAAAATTTCAGGATGATCCAAATGTTTAAAAATTCCCTTTTGTGTTCTTGGCCTTTGAATAAGTAAAGGTTGAAGTCTATATTTTTTATCATCATATTGAATTTTATTTTAAAAATTTGAAGAACAATGAATGACAAAATCAACCAGAAAAGAGTAATATTAGATTTAAAAAAAAAAATCTATATATCATGTGAACGGATTGTGGCTAATAGACACTAAAAAAGATAGCAAATGCCTTCGGGCATTTTCAAAAAAAAATAGCAAAACAAATTTCTTAAACTACCCTTATGATTTAGCTAATTGACTATGTATACTCCTACTGTTTGACTATACCCCTACTGTTTCAAAATATTACAATTGTCGTTAAAATATTAACAACAGGGCTGAAATCCCTGTTTAGCCCTTATGTGAAAGCTCCTTTCTTCTTATTCATCTTCATCGGTGTGCAAATCCCTCTCGCCCTTGTTTCATCACCGTCGCTGCAGCAATGGCGGATAGGGGTGTCCATGAAAAACGGAAAAACCGAACCGAACTGAGAAAACCTAACTGCAAAATGCGGTTAACCGAACTGATTGGTTCGGTTTCGGTTGGGATTTTTGAAAAACTAAAGGACCGGTTTGGCTTTTGGCTAACCTACAAAAAACCAACGGTTAACCGAACCGACCGGTATATATATTTATATGTATATTTTATATATATTTTTAATATATGTCACATATTTTCTATGTATATTATATAAATATATACTTATATTATATTTATAATGATCTATTTATAAATATAATATATATACTATATGATGGAGGATGATTTGACCCGACCCCTTGAGATGACAACACGTGGACATGACTCAGCACGAGCAATAGCTCAGCACCACAGCCTGACCGCAACTAAGTAACCAACCCACAGGGCAATTCGCTACACCATAGCTCGCTATAGGGGGAGCTCGCTACAACGCGAGCTCGAGGTCCCCCGAGCTACTAAAAGGGAATACTCCAAGACAAGTCTATCCCAGCTCGCGAGCTAGGATAACCAGCTCGCTCCAACACTTAGGCAAAAAACTGCCCCAAAGACAACCTTGAGAAGGGTCACCTTGAAGTACCCCTAGGAGCTCGCTACAAAGTAGCTCGCGACAGGATAGCTCACTACAAGGTAGCTCGCGACTAAGCGACGCGATGCTTTCAGGAAGCTTCTATCTGACAAGACCGTACCCGTCAAACTGCGTCACGTATCCTGATCAACGGTGCAATCCCTATCAATTCAATAGACTACACCCACGTCTCTCGACAGATGGTGGCGTGCTTGTCCTCCCGGGACATGTCGCTCACCCGATTGGGTAGTACCCTGCAACAGTTACCTGTGCAACCCTGGCAGATAACGGCTGCGACAGAAGCCCAGTGGTAGTTATGCCCGATTTGACAAGAACGCCTATATAAGAGCTAACTCAGTGATCTAGCGCGACCTACACTCTTAGCCTTTTTTACACTCTTCACTATTTTCTCCAGCATTCTAACTTAAGCATCAGAGTATTCCCATCGGGCAAGTCCCCTGGGAATTCTTCATCGTCTTCTTCTCAGGTGTCGTCCGTTGCCAACTAGGAGCCAGTCAGCAGCCAGGTAGGAGTGTCCGGATTGCGCAGCATCATTTGGCGTCGTCTGTGGGAAACACTTCAAAAAGCCTTTCTCTAAGCTTCTACAGTTTCTTTTTTGAAAACTCAACATTCATGGCCTCTAGCAACGCAGGATGTGGTGCCAGCCAGAACGTCTCCGGGGAGCAACCCCAACTTCCCACTGTCTGTATTGGATAGTTCACCGTTCCCCTCTCCGTGGATGGAGTTCCTAGTCTGAACATGCTTCTCCCAGTGGCACCCGCGATCGCTCCACTCCCTTCCATAGTTGGAGCAACCTTTGCTGAACCTTCGATTGTGCCCCCAATGGCCAACCCGAACCAATTGGAAGACTTAATGCAATGCATGTGAGCCATGCAAGCCCAAATGCAACAATTTCAGCAGTTCCAACTCTACCAACAACAAGTGCTACATTAGGTCTCCCAGTACCAATACCAGCAGCAGTTCCCCTCCTTGCCTCAGGCCCAGTCGTTGCTTCCCCCTTGGCACCCGGCCACAAAGCAAACCAAGCCCTCTCGCCGGAGCGAGCGACCTCACTGGGGAGAGGCCTCCCAAGCCCAGGATCGCGCCAAGAGCCAAGCCTCTTCCCATGGTAGGAAGGAGAGGCTAGCCACCCCTGCCTCGTAGCCTGTGGGCAGGTCGGGGGCCTCCCAGCCAACCAAGCCCGCATCGCCCCAGCATTCGCAGTTCGAGCTCCTGCTCGCAGAGAACCTGTTCGAGGTCCTAGCCGCATACTACAGGCAGGGCCCTTCGGTTCAGAGCCACCACCAGCAGTCCGAGCCCATCGAGCTTGGCAATACTGAAGCATCAAGCACCAACGCTGAGCCGGCAAAGCAGCAATGAAGGCGCCGGCGAGCTCGCCGAATTGCTACCCGAGTCTCTCCCGAGCTCAAAGGAAAAGAGGAAGTAAGCTCAGGTGAAGTGAAGGCTACCCCTCTCCTCTCAGTTTCTTCCCCACCGTCTCTAGAACTCCTTGTTGTCCCCATGCCAAGGGACTTCAAGCTCCCCCCATTGGATAAATATGATGGATCCTTCGATCCGAATGATCATGTGGACGCCTTCCAGTTTCAAATGCACTTGGCAAGGGCAGCGAATCCTGCATGTGCGTGGCCTTCTCCACCACCTTCAAAGGGGTGGCCCGCACATGGTACCGTAACGTCGCGCCTGGTTCGATAAGAAGTTGGGTGCAGTTCGTGCAAATTTTCACCTCCCACTTCGTCACCAGCAAGAGGTGCCCGAGAACTCAGGAAAGCCTCATCGGCATAGTTCAAAAGGAAGGGGAGTCCATTCGGAGTTACATCAAGCGGTTCAACGACGCTTGTTTGCAGATACCTGATCTGGACCCTGCAGTTTGCCTCATCGCATCCAAGCGAGGTATTACTCACAAAGAGTTCAAGTGGCACGTAGTTGTCAATCAGCCCAAGACTGTGACCGAGTTCCTCGGGCTCGCGGATCGACTCATAGGGACGGAGGAAGAAATCAACCAGAAGGTCAAGCAGGCCCTTGAGAAAAGGAAGAGGGAACCAGAGCCCCCATCTCAGGGCGACAATAGGAAGAAGAAGGACCAAGCTCGGGGGGCAAAGCCAAATCAGCCTTTCCGAACTCTAGCAGCAGAAAGGGACTACACACCCCTCAACGCAAAGCGGGCCGAGATCCTCATGGCGATCAAGGATGCCCCGTACGTGAAATGGCCACCTCAGTTGAAGGCGGACCCTAATGTTAGAAAAGTTACCAGAGGGGAGACCATAGATAAGGTCCCCGGGAAGGTTAAAGTAGTGAACTAGAGACCTAAGTCTCTCCATTGTCATAGTGGAGGGACCGAAGGTGTCGGGCTCTCTGCCCCGAGAAGTAGAAGCCACTTCGACAGAGGTCTCCCGAGCCTCCGAAGCCTGCTCCCAAGCTCTTCCTGAGCTCGAGGGGGCGTCATCCTGATTACCATCCTGGGAGTAGACATGGTACGGATACCCAAACATGATTGACAAAATGATTAGACTCACCGGAAGAGTAGTGAAAGAACTCCCTGGAACCGTTGCTTCTTGAAGAACGTCCAAATTTGCAACTCCCAGATCTTCTTCCTCCACCCCCTTCCCCTCTTTGTTCTCCCTCTCCACCTCCCTACAAGCTGGTACATCAGTTAACCTGACTCGCGTTCGAATCTAAGAACTAGCAAAACAAGGAGTTCTTCTTGAGAAAGCCTCCGAAAGAACTTGAAGATTCTGATAGCCAAAGGTGAAGAAATGGTTCTGAAATTTATTCTGATGGAGATGACCCTTTCACATTTTCTTAACAAAATCGGTAGAGGTAAATAGATTTTTCTTTATGTTATTAAGAGGGTTAATCATCATTTTCTCTTCACCATAGAGTGGAGCTTATGGGTTTTCATCGGTAGATTGACAGGAGGTGCTAGTGGGTCTCTTTGAAGAAGACGGTGAAGGAGGAGGAGGAGGAGAAGAAGAAGAAGAAGAAGAAGAAGAAGAAGAAGGGGGAAGGAGAGGGATAAAGGGTAAAATTGGGTTTTCAAAAAAATAATATATCACGTGTGATGGAATATTAATGGATCTTAACGTTAAGGTGGAGTTAGTCAATTGTCAGATAATATTAGACAATAGTCAAACAGTAGGGCTATACTTAATCAATTAGCTAAACCTTAAGAAATTTGTCATTTCTTAAAATGTATATTTGCCTACGAGGCTACGACGAATTTGTTATAACTTATCAGAAAGGGAAAATTCCATATTAGTACCTTGTACTTTAGGTTTAGTGCCACTTTGGTTCCCAAACTTTAAAACGTGGCAATTTAGTACCCAAACTTTCAAAATGTGACAATCTAATACCTCCCATTAACCAACCCGTTAACCAGCTGTTAAGTGTCATTAGAAAAGACACAAATACCCTTCAAGTGTATTCTAATTCTCTTTATCAACCATCCAAACATTGACGAAAAATGAATAGTCTCAAATTCTTGCCTCTTCTGTTCAAGAAAATTGGGGTCACCAGAATGCCCGTTGAGACGTAACCTCAATTTTCTTGAATAGAAGAGGCAATGATTTGATAATATTCATTTTTTATCAACATATGGATGATTAATAAAGAAAATTAGATAACATTCAAAAGGCATTTGTGTCTTTTTAAATGATTAATGATAAATACTGAATTGACACATTTTGAAAGTTGGGATAGAATGACCAAAAACCCAAAGTACAGGGTCCAATCGAAAATTTTCCCAATCAGAAAAAACGCACGCCTTGGCGTAACCTTAAGTTTCGCATACGTGTTCTAAGATTACCCGTAAGAGTGGGGGTAGAAAAGTCTTTGTGCTCAAAATTAGATTTCATCTTCGTTGTGTCCTCACTCACTTCCATCGCCGCAACATAGAGCTGAATGAAACCATCGCCACCACCTCCTTTCACAATCACTAACAGAGTTGGAAACCTTTGCCACCACCTCCATCGCTGCACAGCACAGAGTTGGGAACTTCGTTCAATCTACTGTCGGAGATATCGCCACCACCATTGGCCCTAACAAATTGGTATCACTACTGCAACCCTGTCTCTTCTCCGTCGTCGATAACTCGATATTTTGCAAATACCATGACAAATCTTACCCTTTAACCCTGTTGACCCCGAACAGCACGAGAAATCTTACCCTTTCAACCTGTTGTAGTGTTATTTTTCTTAAAAGTAGAACTCCTACGAATGAATAGCCAAAACCCTTCTCCTGCGGCCGCAGCTAGTTTCACCTTAGTCTAACGATTTGCAATTTTGCATCGCATCTCTAATAATCTTCTCCAGCAACGAAAACTTCATTGGATTGCATTCGTTCATCGTCATACTACTGACAGGTAATTTTTTTGTATGCTTTTTTCTGTTTCTTTTTTTTTTTTAATGTTATATCTGTTATTTCTCAGTTAAAAACAGCTCATAATATCTGTTTTTTTGGGGGTTTATCTTCAAATGTGGTGAAGGCAAAGATTTTCCTTTGTCTTTGTTGTTTAAGTTGCAACAAAACATTCGTATATTTATTGATCAGAATTCTGAGAATGAGAATTTTCCAGAATTGATGCCAAATGATAACTGAATCGTTCCCTCCATTCTCAATTTCTCATCCTCCACTAGAAGTCCATTGGTGAAAGGAAGGAGGGAGACTAGGAGGGGAGAAGGCACAGAGACATAGCATTTGCTGCAGGAAGAACAACATGTTTGCAACTGCAATCAGGTACATGGCTAAAAAGCCGAAGCCGAAGATGAAACCAATAGAGCTCAAAACGCCACCGGAACAAACCCAGACTATCACCCGTGTCATCTTCGACATTTTGAAGGAGCACGGCCCTCTCACTATCGCAAACACTTGGGAACATGTCAAGGTAATTTAATTTACATATCCCCCCTTTCTCTCTCTCTCTCTCAAGTATGAAAAAGTGACCTTATTTTTTAATCTATGTAAAAAAAGTTGGGTGATAGCTAAACATTCAAAATGCCTATTTTTGGAGGTAGGTTATACCAATTTATGTTCCATACCAGGTTTCTCTATCGTCTGGTTGTGAAGATTTCTCTGCTCATTACCCCGTTGTATCTATAGGACATCTATGTTTTTAGATGTAAAATTTAATGAATATTTCAAATCTTAGTTGTTTTTTCCTATTTAATTTCTTCCTCACTTGTTATTTCTGGAAAACAAATTGATTTTTTTGTGTTTCACGAAGTTGGGTTGAACTGAACTTTAGTTTTTTATGGTGGTTCATGATGGATGTTTTTTATTATTTTTTTATCAGTAAGAAAAAAAAAAGATTTTATTAATTTTAATATCAATATCAAGTATTACAATAGGTGGGTTTTTCCACCTTAGAGACAATCTTTATAATTTATAATTTTGCCCAAAACATTTGATGGATTGTCGTCCCTTGTTTGCTGCCATCCCATTTACTGAAAAGCATGTCTATAGACCCATGAGACTTGGGAGCTACCTCTTGTCCATGAAATGACCACCTACAAGTTCCTTTCCACCTCCGGTTCCCAGTTGTGGAAACTGAATTGCTTAGCAAATTTTAACCCATGGAGTAATCCACACATCTCTACTGTCAATGCATTACCATTTATGAATGGCCCTGAATATAATGCTAAAACCTTTCCTTCTGAGTCCCTGAACACCCCTCCCAACCCCAGCACAACCTAACTACCAATATAGCTCTCATCAAAATTGAGTTTTACAAAGTTGATTGTTGGAGGTCTCCATTCCATATTTACCCTTTCCTTGGTTTGAGCCAATGAAGCCACTTCCTTCCAAGTTCTCAAAATGTCATTTGTTGAGAAACCTTGGAAATCCTCCAGTGCCTTCATCTAATGTGCCACTTTAATTTTTGCCAAATCAATGACTTCCATTTCTGTGTAACTCTTTTCACTAAAAATCCCCCCATTCCTTTCTTCCCATACAGTCCATAACACAATGATTCTCACTGCTTTTGGCTTTCCACAAAATTCTTCCCCTTTTTCCAGTTGTCTAAAGAAGTTTGGGTCAAAGAGACCCACCACATCTTGAGGAGTCCACTTGCACCCAAAGAAAACAAAGATGCTCTCAAATATAAAGTACAAAAGGACAAGATAAAAAGATTAGGGAGATGGTTTCACCATTGTTCTTACACACAAAGCACATGTGAGGAGATATGAACTTTGTTATAATTCGGCCTGCCTTTGAGTTCTGTTAGTCTGATAACAGTCAAGAAGAAAGAGGAAGAAAGAGGGAAGAAAGAGAGAGAGAGAAAGGAGGAGAAAAAGAGAGAAGAAAAATCTGGTTTGAATTAGGGTAAAAGTACCTCTCCCATTCAGCTAGACATGTTTTTATATTATTAATAGAATGGAAAAGACACATGTGCCCTTATTTAAGTGAGGGACACTAGTTCTAATATAATATTATAGATCAGCAACCTCAACATAAGTATAAAGATAGAAATACCCCTACACTAACACTCCCYCTCAAGCTRGTGAGTATATATCATATAATCCCARCTTGTTACATATGTAGTCCACTCTTCCCCGACTCAACCCTTTTGTAAATAAGTCTGCCCACTGGTTYCTTGTATTAACGTATGCAGTGTCTATCACTCCATTTAGTACCTTTTCTCTCACAAAGTGACAATCAACCTCTATGTGCTTGGTTCTTTCATGAAACACCGGATTAAAAGAAATATGAACTGCAGCCTGATTGTCACAATAGAGCTTCATTGGAGTATTAATGTTGTATCCTATCTCCTATAGAAGGTTCCTTAGCCACACTAATTCACAAGCAGTATGTGCCATAGCTTTATATTCTGCCTCTGCACTGTTTCTTGCCACGACTGTCTGCTTCTTACTTTTCCATGTCACCAAATTACCCCCCAGAAAAGTGCAATAACCTGTGGTAAACCGCCTATCAGACATAGAACCAGCCTAGTCAGCATCAGTATACCCTTCTATTTCAAGTGTTCCACCACTTTTGTATATCAAACCACGACCATGGGCCCCTTTTAAATACCTCACAATTCTTAGAACCGCATTCCAATGAGGAAGCAAAGGTTTCTGCATGAACTGACTTACCACACTAACCGCAAATGAAATATTTGGCCGAGTAATGGTTAGGTAGTTTAGTTTACCTACAAGTTGTTGGTATCTGCTAGGGTCTTCAAACACTTCACCCATATCACTGTTCAGCTTAGTATTTGTTTCCATAGGTGTTTCAACTGATTTAGCACCTAACAAACCTGTTTCCTCTAGCAAATCAAGCACATATTTCCTCTGACACAAATTAATACTGTGCCTAGACCTTGCTACTTCTATCCCCAAGAAATATTTCAATTTACCAAGGTCCTTTGTTTGAAAATGTTCCTGTAGAAAAGTCTTCAACCTGTCAATACCCATTTTATCATTCTCAGTAATAACAATATCATCTACATACACCACCAATAGTATTTTTCCTGCCGGAGAGTCATGACCGAAGACAGAATGATCAACTTGGCACTGTTTCATACCAAACTTCTTTACCACCTCACTGAACCTACCAAACCATGCTCGAGGAGACTGTTTAAGCCCATATATAGCATTCTTGAGGCATAGATACCTCTAAGGGAAGAGGGCGACCACTCCTTTTCAGCCCTTTCCCTTATCTCCAATCTATGGCAGAGAAATCAAGGGAAAACCCTAGATTGAGTGCGCAGATAACAGAAATCTGGGCAGATCTGAGTTGCTTAGTTGAGCTGTGATACCATGTTATAATTCAGCCTGCCTTTGAGTTATGTTAGTCTGATAACAGTCAAGAAGAAAGAGGAAGAAAGAGGAAGAAAGAGGAAGAAAGAGGGAAGAAAGAGAGAGAGAAAGGAGGAGAAAAAGAGAAAAGAAAAGTCTGGTTCGAATTAGGGTAAAAGTACCTCTCCCATTCGGCCAGACATGTTTTTATATTATTAATAGAATGGAAAAGACACATGTGCCCTTATTTATGTGAGGGACACTAGTTCTAATATAATATTATAGATCAACAACCTCAACATAAGTATAAAGACAGAAATACCCCCACAAACTTATTTGGCCTTCTTTTCTGCAGCATATCACAAGTGTTAATCTTTCCAAGGAAAACTTCCGAACAAAGTGTCTAGATTTTAGGAGGGATTAACTTACTCCAAATTTCATTCACCAAGAAATTTACCCCCAAGGATGAAGGCTGAATTAAAAAGTTGAAAAAAGAAGCACAAGTGAAAGTGCCATTTGAGGTGATGGACCAAACGGTGTTTCAAAAGCGCAAGGCGCAAGGTGAGGCACACGCCTTTTTGAAGCAAGGCACAAAAATACAAAAAAAAGCTAAAAAATAAAAAAAAAAAGTCAGAAATTTCCAAGAAAAAGCCAAAAAATTAAAAAAAAAAATATTAAACATAATATTAATAAAAAATATAAAGTTAAATTTTAAAATAATGTTTTAAAAACCTATTATCTAAAATTAAAATACATAAACATAAGATGTAAAGCATATTCAAATGAGAATTTAAAAATAAAATCAAACATATAAAACATTTTTCAAGCATGTAAAACCTCTAATCTCTTTTTTCACTCTATTGCATTACTTCAAGTAGCTAATGTAATGTAAAACATATTACATTCCTGATTTTACGAGCCGCCTTTGTGCCATGCCCCTCGAGGCAAGCCCAAACAAGTCCACGTTAGGTCTTAAATTCTTAGTTTTCACACAAAAAATAATGTTTTTATTGTTTTAATTGCTTTTTAAGAAGATATTTCACACAAATAATGATTTTGTGTGAAAACTAAGAATTTAAGACCTAACATAGACTTGTTTGGGTCTGCCTCGAGGGGCATGGCATGGGGGTCCGGGGGGTGGAGCCCCTGGCCCAGCTGCTATGTTCAAAAAAAGCAAAAAAGCGTCAATTTTTCAAAAGGCGCACGCCTAGGCGCACCAGGCATGCGCCTAGGACCTAGGCGAGGTGCATACTCTGAAATGCACCTCGCCTATGCGCCTAGACGTCGCCTTGACAACTATGTTAGATAGTTCGGTTTTCGGTTTTGGCTCACATAGTTGATAAACCGGTTAACCGAACAAACTGATTTGGACACAAAACAATTGTGGTCCCTGTTGCATTTCGTGTTTGCCAAGTTTCCAAAAATGTCAAAACTCAAAAGCCAAATAAAAGAAAAGAGGGAATAGTATTTACTGGAATACTAATAGGTTGGGGCCACTGGGCTTCCCTCTACTCCCTTTTTCATGGAACTTAAAGTTAGAACCGTCTTCCTCTCCTCCTTCTATTTTGAGTCAAGAAGACTCAAAGGCTTTCAGTTTCAGAGATACAGAGACCCAAGATTGAAGACTTTTAGTCCAGGAGGCAGAGACTCAAGACTCAAGTCAAGACTACTGTTCACTTCAGGCGTTCACAATTGGCTACAGCCTTGCAAGTAAATAAATCTCTGTTTTCGATAGAACCCATAAGGCTAGAACTCAGTATACACATACTGATAATGACTTACTGAATAACTGTCACCACCCCACGAGTACAGGGTGTGAATGTGTAATTTACCCTAGAATTTAAACCCCCCCTACTAACTATCCTATCCTGCAGCTAGAAGCTTAATTTATTATCAACCAACAATGGCATTGGATTGCCACAGGCTTTTCTGCTAAAGATTTTATTGATAACCATCAATGAAAATGGCTTTACAGGAGAGAGGTAGAACCCAGAGGTTTAGTATTGTTATGGTTTTTCTGTTAAAGATTGTTCAAGTGGGTCAAATTGTTAAAGGAATGAGAAAAAAGCGTACTTGCTACCTTATAATTGATGAACATATATGATATATCATCTCCAATTGTTCTTCTTCCAACTTACAACTCTTGGTCAGAAGGACAAAAGTAGTTAACATTAACAGTTTAACACAACATGAGAGAGAATCTGTGTGGACAGTAGACCAAACACAATACATCAAGGTTTGTCAGATAAAATTAATCTGATGGTTAGCCTGTAGGAACACTACTGGCAGTAGTAACAACCAGCAAATCTGAAACTCTGAAGGCATGTACACTTATGGTCATTTAATTAAGGGGTAACCTACAATAGTATAGTCTATCAAACAAAACCGATTTGCACAATATAAAGAAAAAAACAAGAAGGCAAAAAAACCAAAACACTGCATTTTCTTTATCTATTGCATCATATTTTGCAAGTTGCAATTAGCATGAAGGTTAGTACTTCATTGTTTCTCCACCTTTTCAACCTCTCCATGACAGCCACAATCTGAAATGGGCGGAGATGAGGACTGAGATGCACTGAAGCAGTGGAACCCATTTCCATGGTTTCCCCTGGTTTCTGTTGTCATAAAAGCTCCCAAGTGAAACATGAATTGGTTATACTCCATCACTCCTTCAACCATGATCTAATGCATGGCTAGCTCCACTGGTAATCCATTGCTTCTCTCCACAGGTTTCACTCTTTTTTGTGGGTGCTGGCTTCTGGGTACAGTATTTTGATGAGGCATTTTGGTATAAAATGCTTCGACAGGTTTATTACTTTGTGTTTTTGAGAGAGAGAGAGATCGTAATGCAATGCAGCAGTGAGCCTGATCTGAGAGACATGGTGGAAGTGGTACTGTGGAGCACATTATTTCGGTTTTAACCGAAATATCCAAAATAACCAAAAGAAATTTCAGTTCAGTTCGATCGGTTTTAGTATATTTTGGTTTCGGTTCGGTTTATCATTTTATTAAATCAGTTTTTCAAGTTTTTGTTTTTCAGTTCGGTTTTGAACCAAAAAAACCGAATGCTCACCCCTTCCTTGTGCCAAAGCCTATCACTTTCCAAAGGGAACCTCCACAACCATTTTGCCAAGAGGGCTAAATTCTTTTGGGTTAAATTTCCTATTCCTAGCCCACTCTTTTTTTAGGTTTACAGTTTTACTAACCTGCTCCCATTTCACCAAGTGGTATTTGTGTTTTGCTGTTGGTGGTGGTGTACTGGAATGTTGGTGGTATTATTTATTTATTTATTTTTGTTCCAGTTCCTTTAGTAGTGACTGAGTTTTCTATGCATTGAAAGAAATATGTTTTATGAGTGTGTGTGCACGCGTGCAGCAGTTTCGCAATTTTTATGCCATGCTGGTACATGGAGTCTAAGAGGAGTATGTCCTGTTCACAAGCATTCCTTGAGAACCTTCTGTTCATTTGAGTGTGACAGGAATTACAGGATGGTTCACTATTAGCATGATCTAGTCATTAGTTGCCTTTTTGTGTAATGGTCTTAAACCCTCTCCTTTCTTCTGTTTGACGTTATTGATTAGAAACCATGGCTGTTCAGCACTTCTACCTGATTGTGTGGGTAGTCTGGTAAACAAGTCTTGTGGCTTACTGAAAGCGTCTTTTCCTCTTTTATGCAGAGACATTTTTCGTTTGTTTGAAAACATGTGTAAATGGAAATTTATTGACAAAAGAAATGTATTAATGGAAAGGGGAGAGGTATAAGATTAGGACAATTTACACATACCTTCTGCAAGGTTGTCAATCCTTTCATTTTTTATCCTGATACTTGAGAGAACAAGATGGTATATATGAAGGAAGCTCCCAAATCTGCTTAGTACATGGGTCAACCTCCAAGAATCTTAAAAGTTGTTGAAACTTGAAAGCCCAGAACATGTCATTTCTTAGTTTCCTTCCAACTTCTAGATTACTATGCTCAGATCATTTGAATTTTTAAACTTTTAAATGGTATTAATTCTTTAGGTTTGCTGGCATTGCATTTTTTTTTCTGAAAGCATAAAAAAGCAAGGGGTTATCAATTCTATGTTGTTGATAAAATTCTCCAATTCCAGATGTAATTGTCAATGGAGCATCCAATATTTAATTTAACCAAATCTTCTTAGGGTGAGAACCATGTGGGAGATGCTATAACAGACTAGGGGGTCACAAATTATGAATAAAAATAAATATGTTTTTGATTCCTAGAGTTTTGTATGGTACAGATGGAAGTCATAATGTATTTTCTGTGCTCATTATTTCAAAACAAACAAGTAGAAATGGAACATAGTGTGGAAAGTGTCACCCCAGAATTTATCAAGTTTAAGTGTCTTATGTGTGCCTGACAGGGATACAACACTGGATGGAGGTGAGGGCAATGCAACTTCTTACTGTAACCCAACAGGAAATGTTTAGTCTATGAGTTCTGAATTCTGGGATCAGATGTTGGAAACCGGGAGAATTCAGGGGGATTCAAAGGATAAAGATACATTTTGATACACACTAATACACACTACCTTTAAAATATTAAAACTCTTTAAATTGTGGGTATTGTGGATCCTAAAAATCAATATGTATTGACTGCTACACACTGATACATTTTGATATTTTGAACCTTGGCACTGAATAGAACGGAAAGGTGAAACAGGATTCATGTAGCTGACCCCATATATTTGGGACAAGGCTTAGATGATGATGACGACATTCTTCTTAATTGAGTCCATGATAGGTTTTAGAATTGTATCTCAAAACTTTTATGAATAGAGATTGATGTGGTCTTGCTATATTGGACACATTTTGGTTGTTCAGATATGAAAAAAGCATCATGTCATAAAAACCTATGGTTGCATCTTTTAAGTTTCCATTATTTAATTACTAAGTTGAGTGAAAAAAGATTTATCAAAAAAAAGTTTAGTGAAAAAAGATTTATCAAAAAAAAAGTTTAGTGAAAAAAGAAAAAAAAATCACTAAATGAATTACTGTTGTCATCTTCAGTGATCTCTCATCACCTTCTATTGTAATACTCGCTGTTCTCTTTCTTTATTTTAATAAATTTTCTTTTTTATTTACTACAAAAAAATATCCTGGTAGAGAGATGCATGATCGAATGAGAAAATGTGCTTAAGTTCATAGACATGAAAAGAAGCAATTTACAAATCAATGGGAGAGGGTTCTTTTTGTTGATTCTGTAAATGAGTGAAAAATGGGTACATTTTATACAGTTAGAATACTTTTTGTATAGTTGTTGTTCTGGACCATGTGGTCCAGATACTTTCCTTCTGTAATTAATCGGGGGTAATCTCTCCCTCCTGAGTAACACAATATAACCTTATTTATCCAAAGAAAAACTGCCAACATGACTTACACTGACAAGGGAAAAACTGGAGGCATACATGATTGAGGATTGTACCATTTGACACAAGATGGCAGTTTACAAGATGTCTAGCAATTGACAATCAAAACCCTATATTTCATCAACTTGACCAGTTAAAATTAAAAATAAATCTAACATGAAGATGAAAAGAGAGTGGTCCATGGAAAGTGATGGAGTTAGATAGGAGTACAAGTGATAGATCTTGTCATTTTCTTCTTCTCAAGTATAGTTATATGAAGGAGAAAAAGGTGAATACATGACAGGATGTACAATACTATAGCCAACAGAAATAAAATGCTATCATACCCTTAGAATAAACATTAGACAGACATAGACCTATCACTGAAATATCCATCCCAAACCTGATGTAGCTTAAGTCATGGCTGATCTGTCTGTTTTTGGTCACCTGCATTGTGCTACGATCTTTATAATTTATAAACAATTGTTATTGTCATAATAGTAAAGTTGTGGAAAATCCAGTATTTAGATACTTCTGCAGTAGGCCAATGTTTGACTCAAATCATGGATCATTCAGTAGCAGAGTGCTCCTAAAGTAATCAAATAGGAAAATGTTAGCATAGCTTGAGAAAATTGGACATTATGTATATAAGCAGATCAGTGATGTTAACACAAATTCAGAAGCGGTCCAGTGTGTCTAGGATGAAGTCTTTAGAAGTGAATTTCAAGATGTCTATTATCTTTAGATGTCAACCCCATGCTTGTCAAGTTTAACTTGTCAATTGTCATAGTGCTTGCAGCTTTTTAAACTTGTAATTAGCTTTCATGTTTAAAACGTCTGGCTGACTATTTTGAACTGATCTTCTATCCTATCTTTAATCTGCACCTTGTACTTTCATAAACATTATTCCATGATTTAATATCCAAGTGACTGCTCAGGACGTTGGCTTGAGAGGATTGACAAGCAAAAGACACATGAAAATAGTATTGAGATGGATGAGGGAAAGACAGAAGATTAGATTGATATGCAACCATGTGGGGCCCCATAAGCAGTTCCTCTACACTACCTGGTTCACAAATCCCAACATCAAGCCCTTAAAACCAAGAAATGGTTCTTCACAACCATAGCCACAGGGTATCTATGGATGCAAATTGTGCTTTTTCACAGCCATTGCTGTTGGGGATAAAAGATTACTAGTGGTGACCTGTTATCCCAAATTCATGTGGAAATTTTGTAAATACGTGCATAGATTTTAATATCCTCTCTCTCTCTCTCTCCTTCATTGTTCTGTATATTTTTCTTTCTGTGAACTTATTTCTGCATAATGATTGCATAATTTTACATTTAACACTGGTATTAGGTCAAAGTTCAGTGGTCAATAGGATATGATATATTGGGTGAAAATTAATACTTCTCAGTCATTACTTATAAATCAATATGGTGATCCTTTTTTCTGTAATTGTCCTTTATGTTAGCATTCAATCTTCAATAAATCTTAGGGCATCTGCTCAAGTTTTCTGGATATCGTCTGATGTCTCAAACAATAAATGTCATTGAGACATATTTTCTTGAAATATTTTCCATATTTCAACATGATTCTGCTTGATATCCTAGGCATGATTTGTTGTTTTGCAACATTTTGGAATTTGGAACATATCACCAAATTTGGTTTTTTAAATCTTACATTTCTTTCCCCCCTGATATTTTATTTTTTGGATGGATCATAAAAAGTTAAAAAAAAATGTTCACAAAACTTTCACATATCCAATTAGCAGTTGGTTTTCTTTTGTAGCAGTTTTCATTGTCCCGTACAACCATTTGAACGAAGTTCTTAAGTTGAGCTCTCCCAAACGGGCACTAAGAACCCATTGATGATGGCTTGTAGGCTTTCCCAGCGATATCTACACAGCCAAAAAGGCTACGTTTGGATTTGGCAAGATATGTGGACAACTGGCAATAGCTTGGGAAGCTGTTCTTCCTTCAGCACGGCTTATAGACACAGCCATTGTACGTGCTAGAGTCCACAGCTTAAGCCGTTCCAGAAGGGGGCCTAAAGATGATCATTAGTAGGCTGTTTGGCATCGTTGCTGTTTCCTGGAGCAACGGTGCCACATCAGTGCTATATCGGAAAAAACGGTGCTCCAAGAAACGGGCATTTGTTTGGAACCATTTTTCCATAAAAAACGGTGTTCTAAACCATGCCTCAGAAATCAGGAAGCCATGGTTTGGAGCAATACCAAATTTGGTGTTTCCTAAAGCTGCAGCTTGTTGCTGCTAAAAGCACAGTGATGTGACACTGCTGTGGCATTAGATAATGGGTATCAGTGCTGAAAGCGTTTCTTGGAACAATGATATCAAACAGAAAAAGTTGTTGCTCCAGGAAACATCCTACCTGGCAGCAACGATTCCAAACAAAAATAAAGGCACCATGCTCTAAGCCACACATCAGCAGCACCATTTTCTGATGCCAAACATATACTAGATATCCTTATTCTTTCATGTATGTATGGGTGTTGTCTCCACCCTTTACCCCGACTTACAACACTTGAAAGATAAGCAATCTGTTGCAACTTGAAGGGGTTAGAACTTAGAAGAGGATAAGGGCAGATAAAAAAGACATTAATTGAAGTAGCAAGAAGTGGCTTAATGCTCATAATCAAGGTTTTAAAAATTGACTTTGAATTTGCACCCTTCTGGCCACCGGTTTCTGGATCAATGGTTTGACCATCCAGTTCAAATGGACAATCCATTTCAACTTAAAAAAAAAATAAAGAATTAAAACAAGGACCAAAAATTGTTGAATAAGTTGATGGTTCAACTGCTCGAGTTGCCTGAATGGTTTCTGGGTTGAATGGTCCAACTGTCTGAGTCAACGATAGTTCAAAAATACTGCTCATAAAGCATTTTAATGCAATGCAACGGAGATGTAATTAAAATAAATAGAACATGATTCATATAAATGATTCTATATGGTTGGGGTAAGGCTTAGATGATAATGGTGGTGTTTGATTTTGGATTGAAAAAAAAAAACATTTTACTCCGAGGTGTGCCCTATTGATAGCGATTAAGGAATGTGGCGGTCTCCAAATCATTTTTTTAAGAAAAAACAAATGAAATTACTGAGCAATGAATATCACAATAAACATGCCTCTATTAATGAAACTAACAAAAGCATGAATTTTCTACACATCCAAACATGCTTGGTGCATTTTCTTTTATCGATTCTCTCTAATCACTGGTAATAGACTTCAAAAAGTTCATGTTGTAGTGGTCATCTCTCATCTGAAAGGAAGATAAAAGCTGGAACCTCATTTGTATAAGATCCAACCTATTGCTTTCCAATTCCAGAGATTATTTTACACAAGGTTTTAATGGTAGGAAATGATCTAAAAATTTGGAACAATTAACAAATGGTAGGAAAGAATGGTAGGATCCATCTAATGGACGCCATAAAGGTTGCGAAATGGGTGGGCGAATTTCAAAAATTTCCTACCTTCTTCCAATTGGGAATCATATTCCCTAAATTTAGAATACAATATTCAAGGATCTACTTGAACCCTAATCAAACCAGATCTGTACCAAAAGATAAATGGGAGGATTATACCTGATCCGGAGAAGCAGTATCTCCCAAAGTTGGTGTTCACGCCCAAAGAATGCTCCAAGATCTGTCCCT